CTTAAGTGTTGAAACGATTTTTTATATTAATATGTATTATATTAAATTAATAATAAAAATTATTGAAAGAGTTATAAAATTTATTTTTAGTTTTAATTCTAGACTACACAGATTTAACTACACAACGTAATTTTAATGGTGAATGATGCGGTAAAGTTTTGCCTTCTGTAAAATAAACTTAGCAAAGTTGAAGAATTGCTGGCAAGCAATAGTACAAGTGTGTAACTGTTAACTGCTTACAATAATAACTAAAGAAACAACGGTCTTCCTCGGTTTTTAAACAAAAACGACCTAATGAAATTAGCATTCTCGAATGTTATCTACACGTGGCTATCCCGTCAAAATTAATGACTCCAATGAACCAAATTTACGAAACACTTAGTGACGTATAAAGTCTTCGATTCTCGCACGTTTTAAGTCGATGCAACAAATAATATAAATTTAAGAGTCGTGTAAATTTCTGAGATCCGACAGGTGTAGTACCATTTGATACTGAGCGTTAAAATATTTTGTGGTGGTAGACCTTCAGAAACACGTAGGGCGTAGTATCTGTGACTGCACTGACACATAACTTAAATGGCCTGGATATGCCTTAAATTATGCCTATGCATTTAAATTACATGAACAAAACTGACAGCAAGTACCCACTTAACAGACTGTGGTCGTTGAGCAAGCCTGCAGTTTTATGAACGTTCCGCTTGCACCATAGTAGAGTTTGACTTAGCACCAAATCTATTTAATTTCAGGTTTTATTAGAATAAAAATGAACACAAGTCACGTAAGTTTTAGTTATAATCGATCACAACAGGTGTAATTTGGTATGATGACAGACCAGAATCATACGTTGCCCTATACTAAGCACATGTACGTGGAAATGGCTGTCTTAGGAGGCAGTGCCGTGCAGTCTGGTATTGTTTATCAACGTTTCAGAGGACCTTGCTGCCTCCATAATCAGGTTACGTGATCTCAGTATGTGGCATGCAAGTGGGAACTAGAAAACACGCACAAAATTCGAACCACAGTCATGTAAGTTACGGAATGATAGCTATCGATTCCTATGTCAGCACTTTTGATATACATGGGTCTGTCTTGCAACATAGCCTGCCACTGTACACCTTACACGGGCTGTTTCTATGGCCTAAGAACGAAGACCAAGCCGGACATCCCCGGATCTTACTACTGTTGGTCTTACAACACGGCAGTGGGTGGACCAACATTTCTGCAGGAAATCTTTGCTATTTATTCAAGCTCATGGAAGTTCGAAATCCGAATGAAGTGACGGCAGCAGAAGTAATACAGAGTTCCTAGCGGCAGAACAGAACCGTCTGCAAACATCAGTGGGCAAGAGGAAGACAGGAAATAACCATGAGAGATGTGAATCTGAGGATCAGTGAAGGTATAAGAAGCATCAGATTTAGAACGCCATGGAAGTTTGCGTACTGTGGTAGAGATAACACGATAAAACTTAGAAATAGAAGGAAAGAGAACAATTCTTTTCGTGTAAGCCTCTAAAATAAAGAAAAAGTAGGAAATGTCATAGAACCCATAAAGAATCCATAAAGGGTTGAGGTCTTTGACCATATAGCCCTTTGTGTATTTTATGCTGGTCAGTACTAAGCGTCTCAGTGAAGCTCAATGGAGAACTGTACCAATTGAGATGTACTATTATGTCGAACATGAATTTACCTCGGCTGTTATTCCAACCTCATTTCAATACAGACATTTACCGATCTTGCAGTAAACCGACATCCCTTTATTTTTATTTCTCAGACTAGATGTTCGCATTAAAGTACGATAAATAAAATACTTAATGCATTTATTTGTGTTCTAAGATTATTGTACAGATCGCTATCAAAATTAATATATTTCACGGAGTAACATAAGGTCAGTAACATTGTTACATTAATGTTGCATTATTTTTTGCCTGCGACACACATGATAGGTAACCGATGGACACTGCAATGGAGATGGAGAAAATAAT